ACTTCATAGACAAAGATTTTCAAGTAGAAAACATGTTTTATATTTGTATCTCCTTTGGCTCTGTAAAGCCCTGCTTATTTTATAGACTTTCTGTACAAAGCCTTTTTTTTTTTTAATGGAGCTTGGAGATTATTAATTTTTCAGGTGTGTTTGCATTCAGGACAGACATAGGGAAGACCCTAATTAAGGGGAATCTGTGACAGTTGAGTGCTTTTGTATGTCTTGAGTAAGAACGGCAATAATGCTGCTGGTGACTTAAGCTGCTCTAATGCTGTCTAAACCTGCACAGGCACAGCAACCAGGACTTAGTTTTTACTCAACACAGTATAAAATCACAAACTTTACTCCTGTCCTGAATCTCAGAAATCTCAGGAAAATGCTGTTTGACTGGCTTGTCAGCTCAGATCTGAGATCTGGAGAGAGATGGTGGCTCTGCCCCTTCTGTGAGGCTGGTACTCCTTTTGGCTTCCCCTCTCTCCTGTGCCTGCAATGTGGTACAGTCCAGTGTTTTGCATGCCTGTTATTCTTTTCCATGGAGGGGAAGATGCAGAGGGATGGTGGTTTGAATCACCTGGTTTTGTTCCAGTGTGCAGCTGAGGCGCTGCCAGTGCATGCACTGGACTCAGAACTGGTCTCTGGTTCACCTATTTGACTGTAGCCCAAGTGATTCATTCCACAGAAAATAACACTGCTGGAGCAGAGAAAGTAACCCTCATGCTGAGTGACCAACAAGTACAATTGGCCTAATGCTGTTGCAGCAGAGAAGGAAGAATCCTGCTAGTTTGGCACTGTATTAAGTTCCCTGCCCTTTTAAACTTCTGTGATGTCTTTCTGAGACTGAAAATTGGAACAATACGATGTTGTAAATTGCTGATCATAAACCAAGATGGAGGCTGAGGTGCAGTTGCCTACCATGTCCCAAGCTACTGTCCAAGTCACTGAGTCACCTTGTTGGGCCAAAGTGTCAGTGGATTTATGTGATAGGAAAATCCAGTAAACAATCAAAGCATTTAAAAACAAGCCAAGAAGTATGAAGCATTTGGGAGCAGCAGCTTATGTTCCCTCAGAGATGTAACACGATTTCTATAATCATAAAAATATATTAAATTTTGTTTATTTAAACCAGCCTGTGTTTTGCTGTGAGCATTAATCATCTGGTGTCACACAATAGCGCACTAAATGTCACACACTGAATCACTTCTGCGACACTGTTATGATTATTCTGGATGTAATCCACAGCTGTAGAAAGAAGTACTTCATGCCTTGCTAGCTGTAGAGCAAACACGCACTTGCAGCTTCATTTTGTATTCAGTAGCTCTACAAAACAGCAAAGGCAGCATGTAAAATGAAGAAGAATACTGAGAAGCTCAGCTGCTGATCTTTCACAATTCAACTGTAAAAGCTATGAGGTCTAAGACATTGAAGTACAAGTATCAGCAGAAATATTAACCTTAATCAAGAGAATTGCACCTGGATTTTTAATAAGTTTTGTTTGCCTGAAGAAGCAACAACAGCACATAATGTTTCCTGCTGAAGACAGGGCCCCCTTCTTCTCCCAGTGGGAGTCAAGGAGAAAAGAGAATTCCAATTTCCCAACTGCTGGAATACAACATTGAGCTGGCAGAGCAAGACAGAGAGGAGCAGCTGAAAGAAGGGTATCGTTTATGTCTGGGACTAGTTCAGTGGTCTGGCAGGTCTGTGACTGGAGAATATAGTAATATGAAGTAATTTAACAGCACCTTCATAACACCCCTTTACACCAGCAGTGGACTTAGCTTCTTTGAAGTCCAAAGATCAGGAAGGAATAGTATGGGGTTTAGTTTTGTTTTTTTTTTCTTGCAGAAAAGCTGCTGCTTTCTTCCATCACCTCATCTCTGTTAAAGCAAAAATGTAAGGGGGGTGGGGATGAGAGTAGGGGGAACAAACCTATGAAAATACAGGTTTGTCTTCAGAGGGGATTTTGGATGAAAACAGCTAAAGCAGAAGGAGGCACTGGATGAAGTCATTCTGCTTCAAGGCAGCAGATTGCCTTTACTGGACTCTGATTAAAATTAATCAGTTGGCAGGAAAGATTTATACATATTGAAGGTAACCACCCTTATCAGTGATTACAAAAAGATGCTCTGGGAAGACTCACCAACATATTTAGTGTCCTATAGTACCAGAATTTGGGTGGAAAGACAGCGTTGTGGAGAGCAAGGGGAAGGTGCATCGTCTGGCTGAAGATACTATATTGTCTTCCTGTGTTTTGAATATGTATGAGTCAAGAATCCGTTCTCTACTGAAGTCAGTAGATCTGAATTAAAATAAGTATTTTTATCATGCCTTGTGAATGCAAAATGTTTGTTGCTCAGAAATCCCCATTTGGTGATGCTAGCACTCACCTGCTTAGCAGCAGATACAAATGCTTCACAATGGAACATCAGTCCCAAGAATTATAAACGCCCCCAGTACTTCTGGAAGGAGAACGTTGTGTAGCCCGCAGGATGCATATACTGTGATACAGCAAATGCAGTCTCCGACTTTGACCAGAAACACATTTTCATTACATTTAATTTCTTTTGGCAAGACATGCCAGTGTCCAACTTTAAATGCAGGAATTGTAGACAGCTATAGTGCATCTGTCTCCTTCCTATAAAAGAGGCAGTGGAGAGAAACAAGGCTGCTTCTCCTTTCTTGCAGCACAAGGCTGCCAATTTTTTCTTTTAACTAAAAGCAAGTGGGAGTGAATTATTTGGATTTCCTGACAAAAAACTGCATGAGCACAACACCTTTAATAAGAATAGATGGTTCTCATAATGTTTCTTTCTTCTTTTCTCCGTGGTCATAGGAAGCCCTGCTTTCTGTTTTCATCTGGGGAGCATCTTTATTATTGTTGCAGACAGTGAATAACAAGACATTCATTTAACTACTTTTTTTTTCTTTTTTTTTTTTTTTTTGTGATAAGACTCGGGAAAAGAGTAGAGTTTAAAAATCAGAGATGTCAGGAATAAGTTCTGCCTGTAAATACACATCCATAGTCCTCAGCTCCTTCTTTGGTTGCAGTGGGGGCAGGGGTATCGGAATTTTAAAAGACTAAATTAAGTTTATCATGCAACTGTATTGCTTTTGCATGCTTTCCTGTTCTTTCACTCCTTTTTTAGTATATGTAGAGCTGGGTAGTTTTTACCATGTTGGCCCAGCAATGAAGTAGCATCAATCAGAACAATCAAACTGCTGTTCAGTAAAATATATTGTATTATTGAAGCAAAAGAAAGAACGGGTAGATGTTTGAAAGAGAGCAGGTATGTTTTAAAGCACGTTTGTAGTGAAATTCAATTTTCATCTCCATAAGAATACCTACACTCTTGTTTCCCTGCCTGTCTGTACATTAGTTACATATATGTATGTATGTGTGTGTAAACATGCACATACCCATCCACACACAAATATATATACATGTACAAATACGCATAGCTGTAAATATGCACATAAAATGGGTTTGCTGTGCAGGTGGAGTCTGGTATGTTGTGTGTGCATGCATGCAACTAAATATGATTCAGAATGCAGATGAAACACGTGCATATCTGAGGAAGGAAGGTACTGGGGAGAAAGGGAGGGAAAAGTGAAAGGTATTTCAGGCAAAAGAAAAGGCTGCCTAGTATAAAAAAAATTTGAGAACTGCTGGTATTGATAATGAGACTGAATTAGTCCAATGTATTATGAGTAGTTTTCACATTCCGCACATATAGAGATTATGTCTATTTATCTCACATATCTAACATATGACAACTTCATAAAGCCAGTTTAATAAAGGAGTGTTCTAGTGACTCCTAAGTGTTCCCATATTTGCTAGATCTGAGTTTCAAGAAGGCAGGGGTTTGATGAATGAAGTGAAATAATTTTTGCAGTATAACTCAGGTAATCAACTCTTCACAAAGAAGGAAACATAACTCTAGCAGTTGGCAGCAGTTACATAAATGAACACAATAATTTATGAAAATATGGTGGCATCTGCAATGATGAAAGTTAGGCAGGAGAATAACTAGACATTCTTCTTCAAATGACACAGTTTAAAAGGAAGTTTACAGGACTGAAACAGGAAATTGTTTATCAAAATGAATTAAAAATTATTTTAATATGATTAAAATTACCTGATGAGATATATGTTCAATAAATTAGGAAGTACTTAATGAATGCTGTGTTCCATCAGGAATTATTAACAATTAACATATGAAAAGGTGAAACATGAGATTCATAATAAAGATGTGGATGGAGGCAAATGAGAGTGCCCTCATTCCAGAGTTTTCTTCTCTCGGTGGCTTTATCAAATGCCTGTTCTTGTTTGTTTTGGCAGCTTTGGATCACATACTTAAAATTTTGAGAATTAGACAGAAATGGCATTTGGACAAGTGAAGACTGACAGAAAGCTCATTAAGATGGGTGGCAGTTTGCCTATCGATTTCAATGAGCTCTAAACCGTGACCTCTGTAAAAGAATGCTTGGTTCAATCTCTTGTGAGAAATCTGGCAAGTATCTGGCATATACCGTTTGGGTTTTTTTCTGTATGCATCATACAAGTTTGATTCTGCTCCAGCTGAATTCAGTGGCATTACTCTTAAGGGCTAAAAGGATAAGAATAAGTTTATGTGCATCTGTGGAGTAGGGATGCAGTAATTTTATTCAATATAAAAAGGCATGGTTTAAGATGAAAGGGGAACTATATCTCTTCTCAGACATATAATGGGAGAAATCACCATTGCACATCAATCAAGAGAAGTGCTGCATACCACTGACTTCACTTGGGATACGATTTAGTTTTCTCTTTCGTACATTCACAGGTATGTTGCCAAATGTGAAAGAAGGCAAGTTTGGTCTTTTTTCTTTTTTCTTTTTCTTTTTTTTTTAAAAAACATAAAAAGAAGGAAGAAACTTTCAGGAAAAAAATTCTCAAAACGTAATTTATTTGTGATCTTTCTTTACTGTCAGTAAAAGCCTACATCCAGAAATTATTGACATACATTTTAGTAGAAAAGTCAGATTTGATACTGCAATAAGAAGTCTCTCCTAAACTAAATAAAAATGTTCTTCACTCCATAAACATCTGGTTTTTTGACTTGATTCCAAAGACCATAAGATCTGTGGACAGACTCAATCTTCAGTGCCAAATATTGTCATTATGACTTGCAAGCCCATTGTTCTTCCAGAAAAGAGAACCAAGTTTCAGTACTTGTTGCTTGGTTACAGCCAATTCAACCCTCTTGTAATTCCTGGGTTTATAGCACCTTAGAAAACCAGACCAGTTTTCACTTCAATTATTTACGCAGCTAGTTGTAGATTCTTTTTTGCCTAGTAACCCTGATGACATGTTTCACTAACTCTGCTCTTCTTCTATCCAAGGGTTTATTCTACTGTACTTGGGTTTTCCCTTTTCATGCTTTCCAAGTCCTGGCACTGGGAGTCAAATAGTTTGCAAGTATCCTGGATGGGCAGGACAGAAAGAAATTTGTTGCCTAGGTAACTCAGCAAAATAACCAGTTAGTTTATGTAAGTGTGCCTGCTTATCTGCTGAAGCACAGATGAACATACATGCATTTAATACTGTATTCCTTTTGTAGTGCTTCTTATGAGTATGCATGCAGATTATCCTAATGAAATATTCAAAGCAGTTTTCTCTAACTGATTCATCCAACACAAATGCCATGGATTCCTGGATATAGTCAAACCAGGTAAGATCAATATAGAAATTAACTTGCTGCTGCTGCTCTAAAGTTAAGTTTTTAGATCTTACTTTACTGATGGCATCAAACCAGTGGTGTGATACCACCAATTATTGTCAAGCTAACACTAAGAATTTTACATAATGAGCATGAAATTACATTGACAAACTGATTTTTACAAGCTCCTGTGTCCCTTAATCAGAAAAATGTTGGAATAGAGAAGTATAATCTAAGTATTCTTTAAAGATGAGTCCTATAATGTCAGATCAGAAAAACTCAGACATTTAAACTCATTGACTTTAAAGCCAGAATGTTCATCTAGTCTGATCTTGAGGGAGTCAGTCTCTATATGAATCCTGTATGAACAATGATATTCACGTTATTGGAATTTTTGCTGTTGACCGCCACAGCGCAGGATTTCACGGTACAAGTATTTCACTTATTTCTGTATAAAAGGGGGAAGAATAATATTATTTCCTTTCCCTTATTTTTGTCTGACTGCTCTGTTCAATTAGACTACAAACTTTCTGGAGCAAACTCTATTTTACCTGCTTTCTATGGTGCCCCGAACTATAGAGCCTCTTGTGGACTACAGCAGTCATAATAATTTGAATTGTTTCCATTATTAATCAGATCTCAGGATGAGATGTATTCTGGCCACTTCATACATATTTCATGTAACTGTAGGACTTGCAGGGAAGCATCCAATCAGTTGAATGTAGATGGGAGAGACACATGGTTGAGACTGATTCTGACCCTGTATTTGTCCTGCTCAGGCATTTCAAAGACAAAATTAGTGTTCAAAATTGGATAAAGTGGGAAAAAAATGTTTCTTTCTTGCAGGCATGGGGCTTGCTGCTGAATTTCTTAGGAGAAACATTTTTATGGGCAGGTTGTAAAGATCTGAAAAAATTGTATTTATAACAGAAAGGCCAACTGAAATATCATATAGGGAGTTTTTCATGTACTTTATGAGGAATGCATTTGCCATAGAAGATCTGAAGTCCATTAGACTGTGATGTGGACCAATATCTCTCATTTTATATACCAAGGAAAAGAGCAAAGTAGAAAGCCCCCAAATTACAGTCTTGTTTAATTTAGAAATACTTTTTTTTTCCTTAGGGGATAAAGATAACCTCAAGTAACCTCAAAAACTCTTGATACCCCATCCTCTGCCCACCTGTAATAAACTGAGCTGGTACCACCTAAAGTGGAACGACTACTTTGTTACATTTCAGATAATGATCTGATAATTCAGTATTTGGAACAACAAAAACCCTCAAACTTTCAGATAAACATTATGTTCCAGTGGTTTACTGGCACAGTCAAGTTTGCTAGCAGAATTTCTAAGAGAATGTTTTGGAGACTTCAGTCGATGTTGGGAAAAGCATATGCCTTTCTATACAGAAAGATTTTATAATGATCAGCCTTTATGACAACAGAGAAAAGAGAAATTAGAAGGAAAGGGAGGATAGGGAATAATTTTTCTGTGAAGAAATTGAAGATAGAAAGTCTGAACCATAGAGGTTTGTGACTATAGGGAATTTCCAGTTGCATATTCCTGGGCAGAGGGGTTTACTGTGTGCGTTCTTCTGTATTGATGTTAATTTATTTTTTCCATTTTCTTTATGTATGAAGCCTAAGAGCTCAAATGAAGAAGGAACTGTGCCTGTTTGTGGGAGATGCAGATCAATAGGGCATGATTGACTGCTCTATTATAACTTTACACAGCAAGCACTAAAACTTGGTTCCCATAACTACTGTTAGAGTTTAAAAGCCAGCTGTAAATTTCAGCAGGGACCAGTCAATTCAGGTAACAATATTGGGCTGTTGCAGTTCCATCAGTGGCACACTGCCAGCGTCTACACTTTGAGTGAACCAAACAAACATCAAATGCGTTTTGAAGTGAACAGCTTCACTAGACTTATTCTCTAAACTTACAGCTTTAGTGTTTTAAGAAACATATATTATAAAAATAGACACATAAAAACTGACCTGTCAGTTCCCACCAAGAGAAAAGTCTCTTGATGGAAACTTGAAGAGCAAAGCCTGGGAGATTGTTCATAAAATGGCTGAGCACGTTCAAGTGAGTCAGTTATTCAACAGAGTGAAGAAGTGCTCATGAAGAACTTTCATGAACATTACACAAAGTATGAGATTCTAAGTATCTCTTCTTTTCATCCAAAGTTCTTGGATAAAATAATAAGACTTTTAACAGCCATTAATGAAGCAGGGCATATTTTAAGCAAGGAAAAGATGAACTTCAAGTAGGCAAAAATGTGACAGCAATTCAGAAAAGTGAAGTCTCTGGAGTGAACACACCAGAGATTCATCTAACTGATCATATATCTTGCTACAGGTATCACCAGCCTATCTTTAGCCACGTTCTGGAAAGACAGTTCATTGATACCACCTAGATCAGCGCAGGAATTTGTTTGATGTGCTTAAGAGATCGGTAACAATAGCTCCTAACGTGACTGCGTTGCAAGGTGACAGTGTTTCCTTGGTGACAGTGAATCCATACAGCCCCAGCCAGGATCCTGGCAGGTTACGTTTCTTCAGAGGCTTTAGGACTACTGTTCTGTGCAGGTGTAAAGATGGGAAGATAAGCTTTGACTGTAGACAAGTAGCCTTATGCAAGATGTGAGGATTTTATGCAACAGCAAGACATGTCTGAAAGGTAGGAGGATGAAAGAAGAGAAGTAACTATAGTCATTGCACAGCTGTCTTGACAAGCTTTGACAACAAAGATAGAGTTACAGGATTGAGTATCTTTTTAAAATATACCAACCTGTATTGCTGATGGAGATGGTTGTGCAGAAATCAGGAAGAAAAATGTTTTTTCTCTTGGTGTCATTAGGTGATTACTGAAAGACAATAGGTGTCTCAACAAAAATGTGTAATTTGTTGTAAAAATGTGTGAAAACCACATTGATTGAGATGTAGACTTTGTATCCTTGCAAGTTAGATCCATGAACAGCTGCATGGAATGTTAGTTAATATGCTAGGAATGTATAATTACGGTGATAAGACCTAATTATTTTAATTATGTCTTTTGGGGGGGGCAATTTTATGATGCATAAAGCAAGATAATTGATGATACAGCTAACAGCAAGGATACGTTGTAGCCATAACATACAGGTGTGTTTGTCACTGAATTATGCTCAAAAGAATTGTTTCAAGATGTCTCATAAAATTCCTTTAAAAATTAATTGAAAGATAATAGAGCATAGAAACACTATGTCCAAGTCCTCTACTATTCTAAGTTCAGACTTCTTATCATAAATATTTGTGTACAAGCAACAGCTGCAATGTAGCAGTAAATTGTGTGAATTCTGAACAAAGCGCAGCCTGATTTCTAAGTTTGCTGTCTTTTAAATACCTATACAGATTGGTTTTGTAATTCAACCCCGCCGTTCATTTATGTTGACCGACTTTGGCACGTTCAATTGACTGAAACAACATAAATAATGGGGTGTTTGTATCATGCAAGCAAACAGCTATTTGTGCAAGTGGTTTGGACAGGTCCGTAAACAGATCTCCTATAATCTCATAGAGCCTATGCAAATTCAGCAGTTCTAACCTGGATATAAGAACTCTTTGGTTTAGTTTTGTTTGTTTGTTTTCTCTTTTTTAAAGATAATGTTTAAACACATTAGATTTAGATCTTTTAGAATGGTCCGTATTTTCACTTCTGTAGTAGCAGGACTGAAAGAGCTTGGAGCCCTTTGCTGTCTCACCAGATTTCCACTGAGATTACAAGGCAAAACCTTTTAAATCCCAAATTGCAAGTTTGCTTGCTCTTCCACTGAGCTTTCCATTTGCCATTTTCTGTAAGGCAAAGCTGAACCTGTGCTGTAGTCTGAGATGTTTATTTATCAAGTCTGCCAGTTATATTAGGAGAAAGAAGTCTTCCGACTGACTGTCTTTTCTTAACAGCCAAGTATCTAAAATAGTACACAGGAGTAATGTTTTTCACACAAAATATCTTTCACTGGTGTAGTTTCAGAAGTAGCTCAGTTATAGCTCTTCAAAGTATTTAATGTACGTTTAATATATTCTAGCCTTAAAGTCAGCTGGACTCAAATGTGCTTGCACTGCAGTTAGGAAATGTACAGCATTTTGTTGCCTATGAAAATTTTGCCAAGATGTCAGTGGGAGGAGAAGCAGACCCATTTCATGGGCACACGACTGACCCTGACATCTTGATAGAGTGTGACTTTAATCAGAGAACTCTATAGGAGTGCATGATTTTCCAAGATATGCCCTGATATCTCATAAAACATGTTTTGAAAAATGAGGTAGCTGTTCTGTACTCATTCCTTCCAGTTTAAAAAATATTTCAGCCACTTAATTCCCCCCTGGGACTTCCACTGGAGAAAATGCATAAAATACATTTTGTTAATCATGAGTAATTTTGCTTACCCCCATTGCCTGCTATTTCAAAGCACTCTTTAGGCACTTAAAGTGAGATCCTCCTCATCAAACTTCAGATGCCCTGAAGTGGTGTTCGCTCTCAGGAAAGCCTGTGGGCACCTCATGTAGGCAGTGCAGACTGTGGTTCTTTCCAGATAAGAATAATAGGCATCGAGGATCAGTGTCTGAACATAGCCTCTTGTCTCCACTGACTGTAGAGGGAGCCAAGAAAATTTGTGAAGCCTGGTTTTGCAGGCTGTCAACACCAGTTGGGTGGGAGAAATCATAGTTCAGCCAGATGGAGGATTTAGATGTTTGACACTGTCTTGAGCATTCTGAATTTTTATACATGGACTTGATATTAGTGGCAAAATTGTAGCCATGATATGAACACCTAGACTGAGGGTCAGGCTTAGAAGTTGTTCACACACAAGTTTTTTCCCCCTTACCATTTTAAGTTTCCTTTCTGATTCTCTTTTATAAGATTCTTAAAATATAGTCAAGTATCTTTGCTTCAAAGACATTACAGATACCCTCCCACAAAAGAAGAGAAAATGGAGGAATGAAATTGCCACAGAGGGTTTCCATTAGTGAAATTAATTCCTCTCTCATAAGAATTTAGGTCTATGATTTATGGTAACAACCAATTTCTCACTGCAGGCAAAGTGAGAGGAAATGACTCAGCCTGGACAGACATCATGAATCTAATTTTTTTTTTCCCCCTAATGCTTGACATAATCTAGTGTGCGGCTCCCAGAGGTGTCATTGGAGATTCATATCCAGCCAAAGGGCCTCACAATCAAGGCAGAATATGTTGTTACTTTCATGTATTGTGTGATCTGTAATTGTTTAAAATTGCATCCTGCCTCATTCACGGACATTTCTTTTGCATTAATTTTGCAGCAAAATAGTAAGGAAAACAAAGAAAGGGAGAGAAAAGCAGTGTTGCACTCGCTCCTTCAGAAAGATCTGTGACATCATGTTAGGGTCCAGCTGGTGCTTATTAAACTCAGGCAGTTTTGAGAAGGAAAATATTTCCTTCTGTCACTCTTTCCAATAGAAATCTCACTACTCACCAGATTGAAGAAGTCTTATCTACCACATATTGATTCTGGAATTTTATGTTTTATTTTTTATCAACAATACAGAATTTTGTGAGTAGGTTTCTGCCAAAAGATCAGAATAGTTACTGTGTTAAATGGCTCAGCTAAAATATTTCATCCCACATTTCAAGGGACTAGGACTGTATACTCATGTTACAGCAGAGGAGGTAATATCTAGCTGAGAGGAAGGTAGGTTTTGAAAAGTCCTGCATTTATAAATAGTCATTTGTTTACGTGCTAACAGATGCATTTCCTCACTTGCAAAACTGAGTGTAACATACCTGTTTCTTAAATATAAAAGAATATTTACATATTTATCTGGTACAACCTCATTGAACATGCAAGGAACCAGAAGCAAAAGAAATATTGAGATAGGGCTAAGCGAAAGACCTCAGTAATTTTTTTTGTTATACGTGTGAAAGCCTGCTGATCTGTATCAGCACAGATACATGAAAATGGTCTGTTTACCTCAAGATGAACTCTAAAAATGCCTAAGTAATTAGATGATATTTTCAGAAATGCTGAGCTTGCTCAGCTTCTTTTAAGTTGCCTTCAGTTTGTTGTGGCTGATTTGATTCCATTTAAAAAAAAACAAAGCAAAATAAAACAAAACAAAAACTGTAAAGCATGAGGGGAGTTCTAGTTCTTTATGTCAGTACTGTTACGTGCAGTCTGTGTGTACTTTAAGGCAAAAGCCAGGAAAGATATAATATTGTTTTTTACCGATGTTTAAAAAAGGCAAAACAATCTTAGTATAGTCAACAGTACATACCACTTCATGATTATTTGCCAGTGATCTTTAATCATAGGTTTTAACTGATGTTCTGTTTAGCTTGTCTGTTACACTCAATAGGAAATTTTTATTAGCATCCTCACTAGACCATTTTAAAGCTGCATTTTTATTCTCCATTAGTGCTCCTGACTATAATTGTTTTAATGATGCTTACTGACAGCTGATACTTTCTGGCAAGCTCTTATCAAGCTCATACAGTAAAAGTCAAATTATAGCACTGCATGCACACACTCAGTAAATTATTTATTATTTTTTTTGTAGTATTCCATGGTAAATTTCTAAATTCCAGCTGCTAGTCTGCAAATTATTAAATTTCTCTGAAGCGCAATTGGAGAAATTGCATCATCTAGTCTATATAAACTGTACACTTGAAAGTATTCTGAGGCAATGAACTAGCAAAACACATAAGCACATGACTTCAAGACTCTGTTGAACAGCTTTTCTCTGGAGCCTTAGTATTCTACTAAAACATACTCAAGGGATTAAAATAAAAATGCAGTTGAGGTATCTTTTCATACAACCTGGATTCATAAAAACAGGGCTATACAGGATATAAGGGGATGGTATCATGCTATTGAACAAGTTCAATTCTTCATTTTCTCGAAGACTGAGTTTTTCTAACAAACTGCCAGTAAGTTCCTCTTTCAAATGTTTGGACATACATCTGCAAGCCTTGTACATATAAATAAGGGGTCCTTAGGTAAGAGGTGAGATTAAGGGACTAGAGTGGATTACCTATGGTTTGACCTCAAGATCTTGTGGCTATTGTCTGGTGGTAAGTCCCACCCATTACTACTCTGTATTTTCTATTATTATAAAACAGCTTGCATTTCCCTGAACAGAAACAATTACTGGTTTAACATATCCTCTCTAGTTCCTCAGGTCTGACTACAAGCAGTCAAAAGTTCTGTAAATCGTATTCATCCTGCTGCTCCATCCTAAGTGATACACACACTGTTCCACTGGTTCTATCACAAAATAGAAGAATTAACAGGCAGAACTGTGATTCTGAACTACCTTCCCCAGTAAGTGCTTGGCATACCAGTCTGATTACAAGTTTATAGATGAGAGAAAAGGACAAAGAGTAACTAAGGCAGAAATCTCTTCCTCAGCTTTGAAACTGATTATGGTTTACCTGCTTCTGTCTTTCAAAGCTAGGTCAGATTATAAATAAGATTATATGATATGGTGGCAACAGTGGCAAGGGATTTGACTCAGCCTTTGAGCAGTATGCACAGAACTGGATGCAATGGGTGAATATGTATTAAGTTCTCAAGAGGCTATAAAATGTCGTAACCCTAAGTGCTGGTGTGAGAAGATCTCTCTCCCGTGTTTGAGCCAATTCATAGAAGTAAACCAGAATGGACTGTGGTAAACTACACCTAAACTGTGGATTTTCACTGCATTTACCAGCTTCTGTATGTGGCTTTAACTGGTGGGGTTGAGTCAGAGGTGCATGCTCCACCTCTCTTCCTGCCTCGAGTCCACCATTATGGTCTCCAGTGACAGAAATGCTGGAAATTCAAGCAAATGCCAAACTGCATTGCCCTGAGAGATTCCCCCACTATAGGCAATCAAGGTGCTATATCTGTTAGGCATGGCACAAATCACACCTACTCCATACACTACAGGCAGAGTTTGTTCCTTGCTCCTTCCCAGGAGACTGATGACCTGGAAATTACAGAACATGTTTCAGTTAAAAAGCAAAATGGGCATAAACCTTGTATTCTTGTATTCTTGAATGCAATGGCATGTTTTCTGTATTTAGATTTAGTTCCCTAGTTGCATCCAGGATATTGTATGTAAGCTTGTCCAGAAATGTGTTTACATGTAAATACATACACAAATACGTGCCATTGTCTCCTCATTTCCATACAGAATTTTTCTATTCATCAGATGGTATTAAGGGAAAAGACATTGTAAACATGTATGAATATTATTTTTACTGTAACAGGGACAGAAATATGAAAAAATACGATGTGAGAAACTGAAAAATCTTAACTGATTCTTTTATACTTTTATTTTGCTTTTTTTTAAGCTTCCTTCTGATTGCTTCAAGTATGTCAGCTGGTGTGACATAGAAGAACATGATGTTCAAGGAAATCTGCTTCATTGTCCCCGAGTGAGAGAAGGTAAAGATCAAAAAGATGTATACATGTTGAAGCCTCAACTCTATTTACTCAAACAGTACATCCTTAAATGTTATGAACTTAAGTCACAGAGCCTGCCATTGTTTTGAAAAGGGGCAGGATTTCATCCCATATTGTACATGTTTGCTTTTTTTAATCACTAGGAAAATGCCCTTCATAATTTTGAAAATGTGAAACAAAAGCAAATGCTGTAATGTGAAAATTTTTAGTTTCAATGTGGTGCCAATTACTTCTCTCAAAAGTTCATTAGCATTTAAATACTGTTGAGAATGCAATAGTCTTCTGCCAAACAAGAAACCAAGAATGAAATCTAGTCCTGCAAGCCGCTGTTTTATATATTTTATTTTAGGACTGAATTGGCCCAATTACAATCTGTAGGCACACCCAAGAACAGAGAATGAAAGGTGGATTTTAAAATCTAGTGTTTGAATGTTTGGGATTAAACAGTGGGAAAAGTTCACTGTACTTGCCTTTGTTAGGAACTTGAAGATGTCCATTGCTGTAAACATTTCAGCAGACCTTAAGATTTTAAGCCTTCACTGTGTGCTGTTCTTCATATAACAGGTTTTGAACATGGCTGTTGATCCCAGTTGCAGTTGTTATCAGTAGTCTGGAATTTGCAAACATACCCATTTCTTGGGAAAATTAAAGAATTATTACATAACCACTATATAAGCTCATAGCATGTGAAACAGTATTTTAGAACTCAGATGTTTTTGCTCAACCATTTAAGAAAAGCTTTTATTCTTAGCTGTAGAAGAAATGTCATTTAGTGACCATATACCAAATCATCATGGCCTTATATTGCTTGCTGAATTATGAGGCCAGAAATGATAGAAAAATCTTCACTTTAATTTACATTGTAGAAGCCTGGGAACCCACACACGTATAATATTATATATATTTCATCATTTCAGATGTCTTCTAAGCTATATATATAATCTTTCAGCAAATGACTAAGTGCCAGTTCACTATCACATGCACTATTTTAAATGTTTTTTTTTTCTGACCAGGGCCCTCAGAAGAAGAGCTGTTTTTCAGAGGAGAAGAACATACTTTGCAAAAAGGAAAACAAACAACTGACACAGAGAAGTGGCAAAAGAAACTGCAAGAGAACTGGGAAGACTGCGCTGTAAAACTTTCTCATTAATATTTTGTCCTGTAGTAAATAAGCCAAAAAATAATGTGCTGGCTGCTCACTGCAGTTAGCAGTTTTAAAGCTCTGGTTGGCACCATGCCATTGTAAAAGGAAGAAACACTGGAATATGCTATTATTTGGGTTGTGACCCAAAAAAGTAAACGTCTTTGTTGTGACTGGGCTTCATTTGCACTTGGGCATGTGAGAACTAGTGACATTCTTTGCCTGCTTAGTGCCTTCTTCAAAAATTGGTGATAAATGGATGGTTAGAGAATGGATTAGTTTCATTTCAGCTCTTTCACTCTCTCCTTATAGCAGCCTGAGCAGTTCTTTTGGCTGGAAGTACAGCATTATTGCTGGTTCTGATAGGCAGCAGGTTATGTATGACCTCTGTAAGATGAAGGAGAAAGCCAGATAGTAATCCAACACTGAGATCCAGTACTCTTTATCACACCTCTCCCTATGCATAAACATCTGATACAGACCAGGGAATATTGGTATCTGATTGCTGCCCAGCATTTTTTATTTCAGATGAGTTTAGAAGCCAAACCAATAAACCACAATCACTTAGTCCTGCTTTCTCCTCCCAAAGCGCACACACACACACTGGCAACCCCACTCAAAGAGGGAGGAGGGGCTGGACAGTAAGATTCACATGCTTAAGAGATGATTTCTTTCTTCTTTCCTTTCACAGGATTATGCAGTGCGTCACTGTGATTCTAGGGTGAATTTGGCAACTGGCAGTACCAATTGTTACAAGAACAGCATAATAAAATAAATTCACCTTTAACTAATGCTGACATCGCAAAGACAATGATATAGTTATTAGAAAGCAAGAAAAATAAAGTAAATTCTTTTGCTTATTTTTCCCTTCCCAGGAGTTGAACCTTTCATTTCAGGACCTGGGTGATCTTTACCAGGTGGGAAACTTCAAAAGGATTCTCCAAAGATTAATCCGGGTGGAAAAACTTTGGCTGGTGGACAATTCTTTGACAGACCTAAGTGCCATAAGGTTGCCAAGGTAGACAAAATGTCCAGTTTCTCTTTTTATGCAATATCATAGAAATCAAAATTATTATTTACTTAAGTAATAGCTGGAGCATCCTCTTGAGGACTGCCAAAATATGACATTTTTGGGGTATTATATCAAGAATTGATCACTATATTGATATTCTGAGTTTGTGTCATTCCCAAGTTGAAAATATTCTGCAAGGATATCGAATGATGTCCTGTTTATTCCTGACAAATAATTAATAAATCTCTTTAAGATCAGTGATAGTTATGCTGAAAAGGAAAGTTTCTGAGCACTGAAGGGATCCCGGAACATAACCCAGGCAAAGAGGGTTTTTATAATCCATCTATTGCTACTATGTTGTCATATGTCTAGACATATGAAAATTTGTAATATTGAGAACAAGAATAATGATCTATCCATTGTACAATATAAAGAAAGCTGAGAATATAAAGTGTAGGGATCTGATCTTGCAGTCCATCGGTAGGCAAAAACAGCACTAATGTAAAACTAGTGTGAAAGCAGGTCCCAAGGAATCCAATTCCTGTATCTCATTGGAAGCTATAAGTTGCCAGGACATTGACTACTATGTCCTGTTTTGACTTACAGGTATATACTGCTACAGATGTGATCAGTGATGTCTTACATTTTATACTTTACAGATGCAGAGAACTAAATGTCAATAAAAACCACTTTACATCCTTCAAACAGCTGCCAAGGATACCTCAGATTCAGCACTTATCACTTGCTGAAAATAACATTATGACACTAAGTGGAATATCAGATTTCAGACATACTCCACTTGAATCCCTTATACTCAAGAGGAATCCCTGTGAGTTTCAAGAAAGATACAGACAACTGTAAGTCTTACTGTCTCATGGCTGGTTGATCAACACAAAGAAGTGTTTGTGAGAGAGTTTTGAAGGATATGATCTCAAATACAACAAGCTCTCCATAGCAATCTTTTTATTTTCCCATAGTCTTAACTGTCATAAATGCTCCAGAAACATGAGCTGATGGGCCAGTTTCTGATAATAGCCACAAAATATTCAGAAGCTGCCTAGGAGGCTTTCTACTCACATGGCTGGCAGTTCCTGAACTAAGTCCATGGATCACATTTAGAGACAGTGAGTAGGGCATATAAATTAGATTCCCTTTTATTAATAGAAACTACCTATTACTCAAACTCTTCACTCTCATTGCATCCCATGTGTATTCTGAAAGGAGTCTAAATCACATTGCATCTTAGAGATGGAATCAGAAGGATGTGGTGAAAAATGGGAGCTAAAGCAAAAGAAAACTAAGTTACCTTAATTTGATTTTTCTGGATTCTCTCCTCTCTCTGTGGTAGCACTGTAGAAGCTGCACTGCCTTGAATACCCTGTTTGGCACAGGTGTATGTTGCAGGCAGTGTAGTGTAGTGTGAACTTAATAGGCCTGCCTCAGGCACTGGAAATGAACATTCAAATCCAAGACAGAGTAGAGAATTCAGGGGAAGATAATTTATACTGTCTCACGAGTGTTTTGGCCCTCATAGCCCAGTTCCATTCTTCCCCAGTTGCTTTGACTCCAAAACGCCATTGCCAGGAAAAAAAAATTGTGCACGGGTCGGAAAGGGGAACAAAGTGTGTTCCTTCAGAACTCCTCAGAAGTCTGCATGGTTGCATGTTTTTCCCACTACACAGAGTTGTGTCAGCCATCTACAGAAGGCATGGTTGATCTTTTGAGGTCTACCTTACAGCATGTGTGTAAGAAGTCATCTCTTTCTGAGAGTGGGGAAAAAAAAGGAGACATTTAAAAGAAAGTGTTTAATAAAAAACTGAGTTTCCAGTATGGTTTTTCCTTCAGTCTAGAGGCAGCAGTTTGACAGTGTGATGGTGATGCTTGTGCTGTCTAAAGTTAGAGAGGCAGGTAGCAAAGTAAAAGCTAAAAAGTACATTAAAAATTCTGGATTTCACATTTTATTTGCATTTCAAAGGTCCAGGAGAAAAAAAGCTTAAAAGCGCCTCTTAACAGTTACTAATTGTGTTTCTGCTCCAAATCCTAGCTATTCTTAAGGCAATTAAACATTGGTATTACTCTGGTATTACTTTCATTGCCAGTGTTGGAAGACAGAATTAATCAGTTTCAAGCACAGACAAAGCCCTGATGATAAATACATGCTGAGATTGAGCACTGTAGTCTACACTTACCTTAAAAGGCACAGAAACAAACACCATAGCGTGTGGCTTGACAGCCTTTGCCATGCTTGTGAAGGGGCTCTGGATCCACTACATTCCTCTGAAGAGGAAAACAGCAGTCTTCAAGGCTGAGGTTAGAGATACTGATGTGCTGTTTAAAAGGGACTGTATATCAGGAGGTAGAGCCATTTATTTCGGTTTAGCATCATGTCACAAGGACTTTTCTTTGGGAGAAACAGTGCAAAAGAAAGGAGTGCAAAAGGTTTACAGAGAGCCTGCTTTCTCTGCCACAGAAGGATAAACGTTGAACTTCTTGCAGTCTGAATCTTTGCTTTTCAGAAGTCTAGGAAATTCAGTCTAGGCTAACACTGTGTCCTCTCTTTTGCATTAGACAACTGGTTTGGTTCTTCTCTATCAAAAATGTAGACATTTGCAGTGCTTTACTGAGGATATAATACTTGTGCAACAGAGCAAAACCTGAAAATTTTTAATTAGCTCTTTATCAGATAAATTCTGCAACAAGTGAAAAATCAAGATTTCCAGTAATACAAATCTATTCTGAATATGTTGGAATCCACAGTTTGTTATTTATCAGTGTCTATTTTGTTCTAAATATTTCCCAAGATTATTTATCTTGATTTCTGTTTTTCTTTTGTCTCTCTTTAAGTGTGTTCTCCAGTTTGCCAAATCTGAAGATGCTGGATGGTATCCCAAAACTTCCAGAGGACTGTTCATCTCCAGATATCAGGTTTTTTTTCAAAATGTGTACTATACTCTAGCACTGTATTTTTGTAGGATTAAAACTGTGCTAGAAACACCTCATTTAAAAGATACAACAATCCCTGTTTATGGAAGTTATTCTTTTTTTCTGATGAAAGAAATAATGAAGCAGAAATATGTATTTTTTTTAATGTGTTTGTGATACCACATACTTCAAGTAAGTATGGATAAATTATATGTAAATAAGACATAGTATGTATACTGAGTGTAATGAGTTTGGTGTATTAAAAATATTGAATGACATTCTTGTCTAGGAAATCTATGTAGACAACAACTCACAATTACTGACTCCCGTTGCATTTACTTAAAACATGTCCAAGTGCAGATTATAATGTACCATGATGTTCATGCTCATTATGGGAAATGGTACAGGGATTAATATCCAGGCTGCAAAGAAAAGAAAATAAACCAAAACCAACTTTCTTCTTCAGGTCCCACCAATGTCCTAGTGCTCTTTAATGTGCTTTGTAGATGGGAAAGGCAGAACTACCCCTACCATTTTGACCCTTGGAAATCATAGATTAAATAAAATAAAAACAATGGAAAAAGTTCTTGCTTGGGAGTCTGGTATGGCAAGAGAGCAGTGGGGAGGTAAATCATGAAACAGGAAAGAAGTCTTTTGACACATTGTTGGCATTGTTAGAAATGTCTTGTTGCTCAGTACAGGTTCCTCAAACCAAAACCACAATGAGGGAAAAGAGCTGTGGAAACTGAAAAGGGATTTGTAAGGGTTCCCCAGGATATCTGAATGTAACTATCTTTGAGAGGTATCTGTCCTTGTCTTTGATTGATTTGCTGTTCAATTCTAGCTTTTTTTCCAGGCAGCTCATGCTGGCACACAAATAGCTGTGCCACTAATGGTTCAGGAAAAGAATGACAGAGTCCTGGAAAATGAAGACGATTAACAGAATTGCCTAATTCCAGAGACAATCAATAAATTCTCTGCTGTGTATTGGCTGCAGGCATGCTTTGGTTCAGTTACACAGGGAGGAGTAATGACTGCTCAGGCTCTGCAGAGCAATGACAGCAGAAAGGTCGCAGCAGCTCGGTGTAATGTCTGTATTGGATCTAGGCAAGAGAAATGACCAGCTTGAAAAGTTTCCAGGCTCTCCTTTAAGACTGTCCTTACCTCTCCCTCAGCCTAGTATTCAGAAAAGTTGATCAAAATATTGCATGAACTAGATCACAAGATTTTGAATGTATAACAGTATCTAGCTCAGAGTGTTTTTTAAAGCTGTGAAAGGAAGGAAACAGATACTGGACCACTGCAGAGAGGTGTCAGGTTTAGGCCTCACACTCAGGAAATATTCTTGCAATTCATAGAAACAGGCCAATTCCTTTCCGGTATTTATGTGCTCACAGGTTTTGATAACTAGATCCAGTCAGTGCAGTCCACCTCACAATGGGAACAGACCATGCTATGACAAACGCCTCCATAAACGTACTACAGAATCAATAGGGTACAATTCAATGATACATGGTAACACACTTTTACAGATCCAGAGAGATGATGTGGTTTACACATCAACAAGGCAACCAGATCTTTGAAAGAGGAAAAGCAGAACATTGTGTGCTGTACAGCATTCATGGCATATTGGTCCAGAAGAATTGAAATGTTTCATATGGGGAGGATAAGAACAAAAAACATGAAAGCTTTCTAAGGAGTGAGCCTAGCAGTCTACCTCAGATCTAGAATTTAATCCAGATGTAGTATACTACAGTCATCAACATAAAAACCCACTATTGTGTCTGGGAATGGAAAGGGTAAAAACAAAGGATGAAATATATTCTCCTGAGGATATACGTGAGAAAACACCATCTCCTCAGAAGCAAGGCAGGGAGCTAAAGCAGACAGGGAACAGAGCCTGAAGGACTGCTTATTGACCAAGCCGGAGACAGACAGCAGTGACCATCTGAATATCACTGCTGTGAGGCTGTGCATCTAGAGATGGGAAAGGTAGTCTTTCCGTAAGGTATCAGACACAAAGGAGCATTCATATCAGTGATGGTCAAATCACAGCAAAAAGCACTTGAGGGCTAGGCTCTCTTCCAGAATTCAGCATTAGAAATTGAGACTGAGATGGGAAATTACTTCAGTCCCGTGGGTAGTCCTTTCAGTCACAAGCTCCTAGTGAAGTTACCACCCACTTCTTGCATATATAATTAAGAGCTGGTTGAATCTCTTCTGAGAACATGGTCAGAGGCTTTGCTCTTAAGATCTGAGTCATAGGTCAGTCACAAGAAAGAGGCACAGACAGTAATTTATTCTTTCCAGACAGGAAGTTGATTCTGCTCTCATATATTTTCCTTTCCTTAGCTTAATCCTCTGGCTTTGGAATCCCAGAGAAATACAAGGTAATATCTGGGGAGTCTTCTGATGTTATTTAAAGTACATCCAGGAGCAAGACTGTACTGGTTATGTTTGAGTCACTTTGCTGAAGTGGGATTTAAATGAGATCATAGAATCATAAAATCATTGGGTTGGAAGGGACTTTAAAGCTCATCTAGTTCCAGCCCCTCTGCCGGGGGCAGGGACACCTTCCACTAGACCAGGTTGCTCAAAGTCCCATCCAGCCTGGCCTTGAACACTGCCAGGGATGGGGCAGCCACAGCTTCTCTGGGGAAACTATTCCAGTGCCTCACTACCCCCACAGTGAAGACCTACTTCCTAGTATCTCATCTAAATCTTCCCTTTGTCAGTTTAAAGCCATTCCCCCTTGTCCTATGCCCTTATTAAAAGTCCCTCTTCAGATTTCTTGTAAGGCTCCTTTAAGTACTGGAAGCTGCTCTAAGGTCTCCCAGGAGCCATCTCTTCTCCAGGCTGAACAAGCCCAGCTCTCTCAGCCTGTCTCCATAGGAGAGGTGCTCCAGCACTCTGATATCTCTGTGGCCTCCTCTGGAATCGCTCTAGCAGGTCCATGTCCTTCTTTGGTTGTGCACCTTCAGGTTCCTTAGATGCTCTTGAATCTGATCTTCTCCCACAGGGGGCAGTTCTTCTTTCTCCCAGTCCCTGCCTTAGCCTTCCATGACTTGGGCAATGTGGCTGGAGCACTTCTCGGTGAAGACTGAGGCAAATAAGTCATTGACTACCTCAGCTTTCTCCAAGTCTCAGGCAACCAGGTCTCCTGTTTCCTTCCAGAGAGGGCCCACTTTTGTCTAGTCTTCCTTTTATCACCGCCGTTACCTGTAAAAGTCCTTTGTGTTGTCCTTGATGTTCCTGGCCAGATTTAATTCTGTGAGGACTTTGGCTTTCTTAACTAGTCTCTGGCTGCTCAGACAATTTCTCTGTATTTCTCATGGGCTACTTGTCCTTTTTTCCACCCTCTTTAGGCTTTATTTCTGTGTTCGAATTTGTCCAGGAGCTCCTTGTTCATACATGCAGACATCCTGGCGTTTTTGCCTGACTTTCTGTTTGTTGGGATGCATCACTCCTGGCCTTGGAGGAGATGATCCTTGAATATTAACCTTCTTCCTTCCAGGGCTTTATCCCATGGAACTCTACCAAGCAGATCCCCAGAGGCCAAATTATACTCTTAGGAGAACCCATTATTATCACCCGTCACCTTTGTAGATGTTCACTGTTAGCAGTATCACATGAGAAATTGGGAAAAAGAGCAATCAGGTTCCAGCTAGGACAACAGACATAAGACAGAGGAAGCACACTGGATACACTGCAACATTACCAGTCAACTAAAAACCCCAGCAGCAGGTGCCTTTTGAAACTGGCCTCAAGCTCATGCCAAACCAGGCATAAATTATTATGCATTTTGTGTTCTAAATTAGATTATTACTATCTAACTTTCTTTTCCTGCCAAACATACACTTACATTCAGTCCAGAAAAAATGGGCCTGCAGCAAATTACTCTGAAGTTTTACTCTCTTACTTTTCCACAGTTAGGTTATGGAATAGTCTAATCTAAACTTAATCTATGACTTCAAGTAAACCTGGAAGGAGTGGAACAATAGCTTTTGAGAGTTCATCTATTGTGATTGCACTCTGAAATCAAAAATAATAGCTACCACCTGTGAACTCAGTATCAAAGTATCATGACATCAGTTACCAATTACTCACAAAGAATCCCTCAAACCTGATATTTCATGAAAATTTAGTGGAGTTCCCAAAGTCTTGCCTACCATCATGGGACAGTTCCAGGGCTGATAAAGCTCAGAACTGAGTTCCCAAGTCTCATTTTATCCATCTTTTCATTTCTTATTATATCTAAATCTCTCAATACAAAATACAAAATGAACAATATCAAATCAAAAGACAAATACCTTAAATGAGCAGAGAGAAAGCAAGACTTTTCATTTAATCCATTTATTATGATACCAGGAATTCCAGAGCAAAGTTTAAAAAATCCCCTTTTTATAGCACATGGGTCAGGGGAGCAAAGAAATTTGTAACAGAAGAGAAATCATCAGCTACTGATGAGCATTTCGAAGACTGTTTGCTCATATACACATTAACCTTGTAAAACATGAAGCAGAAACACCATGTGTTCATGTTGGTCCAAATTATTTAGAACACCCAGGAAATAAAGATTTTGAGCCAATATCCTTCTCCGGGACTGTATATTGCAGCACCAGCATTAGATGTGAATACAGTGAAGAGGAAAGTGGTGTCTTTCCTTGAAAAAGGAGACCTTGTGAAAAATGTCTTTTAATTTCTTACACGGCCTCAGAAGCTGAGAGAGTGCATCAGAGGCAAATCAGAGCTGTTCAGTTCAGCTGTAATTCATCATCACGAATGTTAAAGCAATGCCTTAAGCCCAAATTTATGCTCCTAGATGGAGAATTCACTCGTCAGTGATTCCCTAGAGGTTAGCCTGGTGGTGCTGGAGCACAGAATGGTTCTAAGGACGTCACAAGTGACTTCGGGTCCTTGTCAACTCTCAGGTGACTGTATCTGTAAGAAATTTGCCTGGCACAGACTGTGAAATATGGGAAAGGATCTGACTGACGCAGTAGCTTGTGGTGCTTGATGCATCACCATAGGCCATGAAAGAGCTGGTGCAAAGGGCAATGCTCAAAATGGTTGCTGGCCTCTCACTTTGCGGCAAGCTCTGCTTTTGCTGCTGCTGAAGATGGTCTAGCTCTTCCTCCATGGGCCAACTTGTATATTCCTGTGGCCAGGAAGGGAGTTAGTTGCCTTAGCTTCTTTCCACGGTATTTATGTCAGGATGCCAGGACAGCAGAGCTTTCAGTGCTCGCTTATTCTCTCACCAAACGCAAGTGACTACCAAAGTCTTTCCTTCTTTAACACCAAAACTTAGAGTGACTTCAAAGCTGCAGAAGCACAGTTTTATGCTTCTGTGTGGAAGGAAGGAAGGAAACTTCACAAATCATGGATCAGGTTACCAAGAAGGGCACTATTGAGGCTGTTAACCTTTGAGAAGCAGAACACTCTCCCCTTTCCCTGGAGAACCTTTTTTTGAAGATCAGAGAATATTAATTTGTTTTACCATTTCCTTCCTGACTGTTAAAATCAAATACCTTCTGGTCTGTGCTTTCGATCACTGCCACTTAAGTTTTGCTGTTCAATAAAGAACCTTTACCATCTTTTTATTATTCCCTCACTATCAGCACTAAAAGAAAAAAATAATTTAGTGAATATACTGACTGATGTTTTGATCTATTTGGATGTATGTATGAGACACACAGAGATGCACTGGCAGGAAGCATGGCTGGAAATAAGCTATTAATGCTCATTTGTTATTTGTAATCTCTCA